TAAGGAGTAATTTCATGGTAAACGTTAGAACCACTCAAACGGAATATTATCATATTTATCCAAGTACACCAAAAATTTCATTAGTGCTTTTTAAGTGCAGGATTTGCGGTGTATTACTGCATTTTATTTGAGATGTTTTGTTGGTAGTACGGAGGGTATTTATTTAGCAATGCAGAATAATAATTTTTATTTATAAAAACTTGTACTTAAACTGAATGCTTTTTTAATTTGCGAAACCAGACAGCCGCCATTTTGCGGTAGGTTTATCCTATCTTTAAGGGCCGTGTAGGTGGGGGTAGCGCATTGCGTAAGCGGCTAACATAAAAACTCTCTATAATGTGTTCAAAAACCGCAAATTACGTCCAGCATAAAGGTAAACTGTTTTGTTACAACAAATTTCTTATCTGTGAAAATGTTATTATTGCTTCATACTATCATCGAATTCGATGTTATTATTACATCAAATTTCGAACATCTCTGAAAAACTAAACAATTTAATTAGACCTCAATTCTAATATCAGTCGAAATTAAGTTTTATTCGAAATGAAATGTCAATAGCAAATAATTTTGACAATTTCACACGTCACTTGGTATCGAACGATATGATAGTTGGGGCCGATTCTAGTTTGTATATGAATTAAAAATAAAAACTACGATTGTGTGAGATGCGTAAGAATTTGCCGCCATTTCGCCAGTCACATCATAGAGAGCTTATAATATGTGTGTAGATAAAACAGTGTATGTAACTGTACACAATTAGGCATTAAAACACTCGTGAGATGTTTAAATGAACCCTCACTCGCGGATTTACTGTTTTTCATTATGTAACTGTCACATAAACTACTATTTTTATTGGTTTTTATTAATCTTTGTTAGATTATACATTTTTTTTATAAGAAAGGAAAAAAAGACCTTGAAGAATATAAATTAAATAGTTTTATATTTTTTGAAAGTCATCAATTTCATCAATCGTAATTCCATTGTTTATATCTTAAAAAAATAAATAAATTACTAATTTTTTTTCATACTTTTTTTTCTATGATCTTCATCAGGTTCATGTGAAGATGTAGAAGATGAAGTTGCTGAGTTAGGTTCAGTACTAGATTGACTAGCAGATTCCGTGGTAGAATCTTCTGAACATTCTTCTGAAGTAGTTCCAGAAGTACATTTCTCTATCGTATAATTTTGTGGGGTGGCAGCTAAAATCTCGAGGGTTCGTAATTTTTCCTTTTCGTCAATATCGTATTCATTTAAAAATTTCATTGGTATGTTATATATGCGATTTTTACCCGGTTGTTGTGTACAACTACTAATAATACGTTTTCCGCAATCTGTATTTTTCATCCGAATAATAAACCGTCGTATAACGGAACCCAGGTTAGTACATTTCTTAACTTCAACTTTTTGCATTCTGAAAGAAAGAAAACGGTGTTTTTATAGTGTCACATCCTTCATAAATATGTTGCTAAATGGTAAGTTTGCAAAGCTTCAGAATCACGTAACTCGCGCCATAGTACATAATAGGCAAATTGCAACAATGTTTCTTTTCTATATAATAATAATCCCCCAGGGGATTGTAGCAGGGGATTTAAATGGAAGGGGGTAATAGTCAAATACTTATAACCTTAGAATAATAAAAGCTTATGACGATGGTTATATGTTATGCAAGGCTGTGAAGTTGTTGTTTAACGCGAGTGCTTGTATTGATACCAGAGCAAACGAAGGAGACCAAGATTGAATCACGAGCGAAGCGAGTGGCTCAAAAATAGAATCTTGAGCGTAGCGAGGGTTTCACAGTACGAGACGCAAAACAACTTTGCTGCCGAGCGAAACACACAACTTTTCACCTCACTATAGCGAGGAAAATGGTAGATGGAAGAAAAACAGTTGAACTATAACAAATCAGTTTAATATTATATACCAAGAATATAAATATACCAACGGATTTATATTAAGTAAATAATGTACGACAAATCGCGTAGTTTAACGTATTCTTATGTTTTTTGTTTTCATCGAAAGAAAAAGTTATTATTTACTCATGTAACCGCAGTCCATCGTCAAGTTCGAATTTCACAAACCTTTTCCACGCTAGCGTGAAACAACGTTTTTGCGCGCAGATTTCTAGAAACAGAATAAAGTCTTTCCGAGCTAGTGAGGTGAAAAATATTTTTAACCCAAACCTACGCCTAGTAGTCGGAATTAAATCGTGTAGTTCGCATCGCACACTCTCCGTGATATACCCTATAAAATACCGATCAATTTTTGTTACCAAAGTTGATTTATATTTTTAAGTATGTTTATGGATAGGTTGTATTTTTGTTAATTTATTTTGATTCTAAAATTTGGCCACATTGCTAATTGATGAATATAGTTATATTCCTAGAACGAGTTTTTTCTTTAATGACTTGTAATCTTAGGGTGTATCCTCAATTTTACTATATATATTTTTATCCAAAGTGGTTGATTCAAAGCTTTCACTAAATATTATGCGGAATCAACCAAAGTCATTTGAGGTTATAATATAGACTCTTAAACCGTAGTAGTAGCACGGATTTATATTTATTCCATACTAATTGATACGGTGAGTCTCAAACGCGACGGTGCTCCCCTGTATGATTTTTTGTTACTATAAAAAGCTGCTTGATCGAGAGTTGTGTCTACCGCCCTCAAAATGCCTAACATCTATCACACGACAACATCATTCACTATGCAGCAAAGGCATGCAAGGCCCGATTCGTGAATCGTGGGAGCCCTAAACAAATAAGTAATAAAATTAAATTGATTTATTTCAGGTGACACATAGCATTTATTAAATATTAAATTGTATAAATTTTTAAAATTCAATTGAAATTAGAATATTGCAAATTATAAATAATAAAATATGAATCAAATGCGCTAAAAACTAACGTAAAATTACAAGTCTGGACAAAATGTAAAAGCTTGGATTACATTAAAATTAACAAATTATAATAAAATTTACATTAAAAGTTATTTATTTAACGAAAATCAGTCTCTATATCTATTGCCACTATACTATGCAAATAAAAGATTAACTCACGCGATGGGCATCAACTTCACGGCCTTGGCCGCAGTCTTTCTCTCTCTTTCAAAGCAACACAATGTGGCAAAAATGAAAGTGAGGAAAAGCCCGACTCCTGGGCCGGCTATCAAGGCCTGTGCTAAATAACTCTAAAAAAATCAAATATGACTGAATTATGATCATAAAATCGACTGACTAGTGGCTAGATTCATTAGCCTCTTTTTGGCTATCTTCCCACCAGAGATGTGCGACGTAGCGAAGCAGTGTGCGAGGAAAAAATCCACCAATAGGATTACTTCATTTTCATTTTTAGCACAGCTCCGGTGGAAAAGGGTTAGCCGAGCTAAGTATTTGTACATACAAAATAGCGAGAAATGTGTGCGAGGGATGCAGGCGAGGAATGTGTGCAAAACGATGTAGGAAACCAGAGCTACTGAAAGTAGGACACTAAGGCGATTATCACACTGCACCGCGCCCGCGACGGAGCGCGGATCTGCGATTTTTAACGTTATACTGAAGTACCTCAGTTTGTACGGAAAACACGCGCCGTCGAATACAATGACAACGCTTCGCCCCGCGACGGTGAGCGGGATGAGGAAACGCGCGCGGTGGCAGAGACGCAGATTAAACCGCGCGTTGACACGCGCGGTTTAATCTGCGCGGAGGCAGCGATCTAGCGGCCCCGCGCCACTAAAAGTACTTACTCGCTTCGTAGTTGATCGTTGTAGTGATTTACATGTACCTAAGATGCTTCTTTGACAAGAATGGTTAATAATACAGCACTCATTCAGGACGCTGCAATTATATTGTCCATTTGGTTTTTGTTTACTCAAATAAAAAGACACCGAAGAAAACATTCAACTTCATTACAAAGATTGAAGAAAATATGAAGATTAATTTTTCAACTACACACGTATGTCAACTGAATCTTTTGATTATTTGTTAGGGAAAATCCGAACGACAATTACTGGAATAGACACAAATTGATTAAAAATCTGCGCGGTATTGTGGAGCGCAGTGTGCCATACCCTGCGGTGCGGTAAACCAGCGCGCGCCGCGCTCCCGCGCAGAGAAGCGTTGTCGGTGTGTTCGACAGCGCGCGTTTTCCATACAAATTGAGGTACTTCGGTACAACGTTAAAAAACGCAGCACCGCGCTCAGTCGGGGGGGCGCGGTGCAGTGTGTTAATCACCTTACTTGTAACTTTTGTATACATGGTTTTCGCGAAACGAAAAGGAGTCTAGGCAATGCAGTAAGCATTTCAATAATCAAACAGTCACTAAACCTTAAATTATTCATGAATTTAAATAGTTTGCATGAGGTAGAGGTAATGTGGTATAGTGTAAAATGTGGAACTTCGAAAACAACACAAACACTTCTTATAAAAACTGGTGTGCACGCCACTCGACCACGGAGACCGTTATACTTTAAAACATAAATACAACGTGAGTACACAACGTGAAGACCCTATGGACACGGCGTATTTCATACGGCGTCGTAGAGGCTCAAAAAGCAGATTGTTGCGTTTGTATCGATACAAACGCGCGTAAAACGTGACAAGACGCGCGTGAGAAGCGCGTTTGAAGCTTGTCTGTATGGAACATAGGTTGCAAGCAAGAAATCAAAAACATAAAACAATAAAGTTTCCTCGATAGACAAAAATCACGAAATGACCTCTAATTTTAATTTTTTTTCCATTTATCCTCGAAATGCTACAGGTTATTAGGACATAAATTAGATAATTAATTATATTTATGCATGATCGACAATTATCACTACGGATTTTTTTAAATCCCTTTAGTTTTAGAGTTATTCCGCTAAAACGAATTTGGTACTTTTAATGCGCAAAATTCGACATCTCCTGTCGCATGTCACGCGAACTTCAGGCATATATTTGTTTCACAAATTTGGGCGGAGCCAACGTCAAAACTTTTTTGAATTTGTGAACTTGTGCAAAGGTTTACTCGTTGCGAATGCAACGCGTTTGAATCGCGTCATCTGCGCGTTGTCGGCACGTATAAAATACTTGTGCATAGACTCTAAGCAGTGATAGTCCTTGGGAGAATAGTTGCATCTCAATTGAGTGATTTACGGTTCGAACTATATGACTTTAATAATTCTAAGTTAGACAGCGATAGAGAGAACATCTTGACGAAACTTGTAAAACTCTCAGAGGAAACCCGTGCCCAACAGTGGAATGTACAATAAGAGTTGTTTCTGTTTGTGTTGATTCTGTAGTTACCTTAACCGTAACGTCACACAGCATACGTAAATTTTCACTGTAGTCTCTGGTCGTTTCTTTACAGTATTTCAATATTGTATAATTATAGTCCTGCCACGTTCGATTGAACTGTTCCATCAAATATTTACAATCTCCTATTTTACGTCGTATGCCGATAAAAGTTTTGTTATAGCCCCAGTAATAATTATTAGTTTTCTGAAATACTGCAATAAGATTTTATTTATTAGTTACATGAACTCTAGCCTTAACTAGAATTCATATTTACGATTAACAGATTATTTTGAAACAATGGCGACTTTTAGCAGCGCGTCTACAGCGATTCAGTAGCTAATCGTCTTTCTTGTGAGTGTCTAACGTGCGACTTAAGCGGCGTTACAATTGCGATACACGTTCTTGATAATTCAACATTTATGGGATTGCATCGCTTCAAACCCATGACTCAATCGCGCGTTTCGCGGCTATAAGTTGCCGTGCGTTCGCTCTTAGACGTTTTGTAACAGAATTGTGGTATTAATTTGTGGTTGTCTATGAGTGTGTCCATGACACAGGGTTTCCCTAGTGCGAGGCTATGTTGAGTGTATGCGTATATATTGACGAAACTAACAAAGCTGCAATGTAAATGGATAAGGACCAAAAAGTGAAGCGTGATTTGAGCGAATGTAGATGAAAACGTGGGGAGGGGTAAACTTCGAAAAAAGTTTCTCAATCAGACTAAGGATGTTTAAAAAAAGCCAAATGGTTTACTGGCCATTGTTTTGGGTTTGCAAGAATTAACTCCGTTATTTTTGTGGGTAATTAGTAGTTGCCACATGGCTATATTACTTACTAGTAATTATATTGTAAGCATTTACAATAGCATTGGATAGAGTATTCCATTCATTTTTCCAACGATAATTTGTATTTATATTCCCAATACTGTCACAATGTTGGAAAAGTTCTACAGCCTGCAAGTATAAACGAGAATATACATATAGATATAAAACAATGGATCAGTACATTAACTAAATCCGATTTTCTTTTTTTATTACCATCACACTGCCCCGCACTACGCAGCGGAGTGCGCGAGACGACAGACTATGCGCCCGCACTCCCGCGCGGAGACGTGTTGTCAATGTATTGTACGGCGCGTGTTTTCTATAGTACAAATTTTCTAGGATGATCCCTGTGACACTTCACAAAATTCTACATAATGTAACCTTGTAACGACGTCCACTAATTTAAGTATTTTATAAACTATTTTTGCAAGTCTCGCTTTTAAGTGAATAACATTTGTTTAAGTCAATACATAAAATTAAAGTAAAAGTAACACCGAATTAGTGAGAAATGAGCAAAGAAACATTTTTTTTTAAATTAATTTATTTTTGTAACGGACAAAGGTCATTAAGGATCTTTGATACAGCTGAACAGATATTCATCAAACTTAGCTAAAAACTATCATGATTAAATTAGCATTCAAATAAAAAGGAAATGCTTTAAAGAATATCAATAAAAAGTTTTCGATAATTAAATTAATAAATATATACTGCGTACACGAGTTTAACCGATTAGGTAATTAATTTTGAAAAGTTTTTAATCTACGTTATGAGTCTCAAATTTATTAAAATATCAATTGAAATGGCATTTCAATTTAGTTAGTGTTTACACCGTCAGTGTACAAATAATACAAACCACTTCATACACCTATACAAAGTTTTCGAGAGGCAGGAGACTCCATTAATTTGTTTCTTGCGATCAATATAATCTCGTAGACGCACTACAAATAACCGCACTTGACTGTTGAGGACAATCTTTTTGAGTTTTTTCAACATGGCTGAACAACAACAGCGAAATCAAACAAAACAAACTAAAAGTCAACAAATAAAAACAAAAACAAATAACTTTAACAGAGAACACGGCAGGGAATAAATCTTTAATAGGTGGCACATACAAAGCGTCATCACTCGTACTAAAACTAATTACATTGACACATACATGTCAAGATTAACGTCAAAAGTATTCTTGACCAATTTCATACATTTCAGAACGCTATAATTGGTTGCATATGCAATTATGATTGTTCACTATTGCTGGCGATGGGTATTAAATCATAAACAAAGACTGCATTAACATTTAATTTATTTCTTCTCCAGTACCTACTCCATAGGAATATCGGATCGGATATCGGAAACAAAATAAATATTATTTATACACAATTCATGGGAGTTCATTATTTTAAAAACTCAATTGTTATGTTTTTTAAATCCGTAATATTATAGAAGGCTGTATAAAAGAGGATTTTTGCTTCAAAAATCTATCGACTTTACCTCGTCCCTATGAAAACGTCAAATGAAGGGTCACAGAGAAAATTTGTTGTATATACAAAGTGAGGTACCTTTCAACCCGAACACTAGCGGAATTGTCCTCAGTGGGACAGAAGCCAAAACAACAAAAAAAATACAAAGTAAGATACTTCGATAGAACGTTAAAAAACGCAGCTACGCACACCGTTGCGTAACGCGGAGCAGTATGATAATGGCTTTATGCATAAGATAGTGTCAAAAAAATACGATAGCAAAACTATTTTTTGCTTTTCCGCTTATTTAAAATTATTAAACGGTGTAATTTTAAGGTAAAGGCTCAACATGTAGCCAGGTATTATCACAAGGGAGTCGTCACGAAAACCCGCTCGAATCGCCCCGATGGGAAACGCACAACGTCTTTTTAGTACTTAACACATGAATGTAATTTTTTTTCTGACCGGCTTAACGCGATTCCATGTAGATAAACGTGGTGACTCCCTAACAGTCATGCTTTGATTGGTTAGTACAAAATTTTAAAGTCCAAATTGTTATACAATTATAGCCACTATTATCGTAGTACAATAGGAACAACTCTAGTCTGTTCAGCACGTACATGCCTATACTCGGAACGTAGAGTTGTTATTATTATTATTTTAGTTGTACCTGCATGTTGTAACCAAAAAAAATAACTATGTAATAACCTTTGTTAATTGTTGTAGATACGTATTTTTATACTTTTATACCAGCATT